TTTTTTTTTTAAGATCATGAGTTCATCTAATGTAGATGTCTGCCAAGCAATCCACATGAGTTCACATCAATTAGTTATAGATTGGGGCCTTATAGCTTCCACCATTTTGCCAAGTCTAGGTTCTCCTTCTCTTATGGATTGGGAAGAGCCTGTGGTCTTACAAACCACTTTACTCATGTCCAGAAGTTAATTAGAAATGGGGACTCTAACCCTAACCACTTCTCCCTCTACCATCCAACTCTCCTCCCACCTGGCTCAGGCTTCCTAAGTGAGGGATGGGGACCTTTGTTCTTCTGTCATTTGAGGGGGGGAGCTCATAGTCTTTGTGTCTGTCTGAATGTGTACCAGCCAGGATCCAGACCAGAGTTATCACCCACAAAGTGGGCATATCTTTGGGCCAACCACCTGACAGGTTTAGGCATCTACTTCTCCAAAGGCTAGGAAATGCATCAGAAACTGGAGGTAAGCGAGGCATATTTTTGAGTATGCAACATACAAGATACAAGAGGAATATTTTTAGTGTCTTTTTTAAAAAGACCCTTTGATGCCCAGAAATTTCAACTCTCCATGGCACATAACCATGTGTTTTGTGATGTTAAATTGCACGTGTTACATACAGTGAATACTCAAAGCCTCCAGTGGGCAAGTACCATGTATGATGCCCAATCTGTAGCCCTGGGCACGTGATGATGGTGGTAGTGGTATGGGTAGTAGTAATATCAGCTAGCATTTACATAATGTTTTAAGGTTTGAAAAGAACTTTATAAATGTTAATTTCATTTGATCCTCACAACAACCCTGAGAGGTAGATGGTGTTATTATCCTCATTTGTAAACTGAGGCATACAGAGGTTAAGTGACTTGCCAGGACCCCACAGTTAGGAAGTTTCTGAGGCAGGATTTGAACTCAGGCCTTCTGACTGCAGGTCTAACAGTGCTCTATCCACTGCTTCTAAATGTTCATAAATGCTTTATTCCGGTTTTAATGTTTGATAATGGAAGAGGAGTGAAGAAAAAACTGATGGTGCCTTAAAAAATGTCCTACTGTTGTGTTGGATAAATAGAAAGGAAAACTAAGTAAGGGATGGAAACCAAGTGGGTAAGGGAGGAAACTGATGTAATCTGGGTTAGAGGTTGGAGGAGTTACCAGACTCTTGGATTCTGGAATTTCACCTAGGCTCTGTCTGTTGACTCCCTTGCACTTCCCAGAAACTCAGAGATGGATGTGACCAGAGACCATCTAGTCCAGGGTGGGGAACCTGGGGCCTTGAGGCCACATGTGGCCTTTTAGGTACTTGGGTGGGGCCTTTTGACTGAATCCAAGTTTTACAGAACAAATCCTTTTATTAAGGGGATTTGTTCTGTGAAGTTTGGATTCAGTCAAAGGTCCACACTTGAGGACCTAGAGGGCCACATGTGGCCTCGAGGCCACAGGTTCCCCACCCTGGACTAGTCTAACATGTACCTGAGCAAGCATGTCGTTCATACACCCAGCAGAGGACCATTTGTCTTCTGCTTGAAGGCCTCCAGGGAGGGGGAACCCACCACCTCACAAAGCAGCCATTTCCTTTTTGGGATACCTCGTACTTGCTGAAAAGATTTCCCTCCCCCTCCCATGTCAATCACAAATTTGCCTTTTTATAAGTTTCACCCATTGCTTTTGGTTCTTTTCTCTGGGAGTCAGTCAGAACATGTCTGATTTCTGTTTGACATGATGGTTCTTCAAATCCTTGAAGGCAGTTATGCCCCTGCAAGACTCAGGGGTTTTTAACTTGGAGTCTGTGAACTTGATTTAGATAGATAGATAACTATTTCAAAATAATTGTTTCCCTTTATAATCCAAAGTATTTTATGTATTTAAAAACATTCTGAGAAAGGAAGGGTTTATGGCTTCACCAGACTGACTGACTGCCAGAGGGGTCCATAACTCAAAAAAGGGTGAAGACTTCCTACCTAAGTCTTATCTCCTGGCTGAAAATCCAACCAAACTTTATGAAGTTGAAGTCTTTCACCATCGTGGTCACTGCCCATCCTGATACTCTCCCAAAATGGAGTGCTTAGAATTCAACATATATGTGGTCTGACCTGGGCAGAGGCAGCTTTGGAGGAAATTAAAAAGGATATAATTGGGAATGCTATGTACTGGGTGTCACAAAAAATCTTAGACATCTGGGGGTAGGGGGGTGGGAAGAAGAGTGAGCAATGTTCAGCCCTCCCCTTCCATTCCTCATCCCCCTCTTCCCACTATGGATCTCCTAACAGATCCTGTCACTCTTCTGGTCTGGGTTGCCATCCATCCGGGGTCCACTTTCCCTAGGGTGTCTTTCCACCTCACCCCACCCCTAGTTGAGCTGCTTGCCTGAGGACTCTTGCTTCATTGATTGCTCAGGGTGAGTTGTAAAGGCAGTTGGCTTTTTAGGTGCACCTAGGATGTGTCATTTAGGAAAAACTAAACCAAACTAAAGAGCAGAATGTAAAATGTAAAATAAAGGGGAGAATGTAGAAAACCCGATGCAGGACAGATCATCGTAGTAGAACTCAGCTTCTACTCAGCACCTATTTCTGTGTAAGGGGGAAGAAGAGTTTTAAAACTTATTTTACCTTAGGAAAAAAAAAAAGATTAGGAGACCTATCCCTGAGCCGTGTGAAGTCATCCAAGTTAAGAATGTTCAATTAAAATATTCTGTCCCACAAATGTTTCTCAATTTAGCTATATCAACAGGAGCTAGACATTAGATATCATGAGGATATGGCTTTGCACAGCCTCTCTGATTGTGTGTGTTGTGTGTATGTATGTATGTATGCATGTGTGTGCACATGCATGTGTTTATAATTGGGAAATCATTTGCCTTTTGGCAGTCAGGGAGAAAGAGAGTCCAAGTGAGCAAAAAACAAAAACAACAAAAAACAGTATGATTGGGAAAGAGTTCTGTGAACAGAACAGTATGAGATTACTGTCAGATGTGTTCATGATCTCCAGATACTTTAGGATTATAGTTGCCCCTACAGTGGGAAACCTAGCAAAGAGTTTTATTTACCTTGAGGTCCACCTGGCTTTGACATGGTGCTGACTTTTAATGAAAGGATTTCAGAAGGATGCCGTGCATCAAGGTTGGTTGGGTGTTGCTTTTCAGTTGGGCATATTAAAGCTGATTTGATCTGTATCAGACTTGGCCTCCTGACCATGTACTTCTCCTTCACCCCTTCCCTTAAAAACAAACATCCCCCTCAGCTACAGTAAATGTTATGTGCTTTCAGAACCAGCTGTCCTTAGACCTCAGCCTTGTTTTGTGGGCCACAGCATAACCACCCCCAAACCTTGTCAGCCTTCTGATTGCAAGAGCTGGTTAGCTTTCAAGAAGACTTGTCTGTTTCTGTGGGGGCCTCTTTATTCAGGCTTCTAGCTCCAGCCCTGTTTCTCTGGGAGCAGGGGCTCCCACATAAGGCTGAGTGATACAGGGCCCGAGGGGAGATCGTTCAGTAGCACAGAAGGGCCTGAGAACAGGAGGACTGGACTGGTGGGAGGGAAATCAGTATTACTGGTCCAGATGGTCCAGATTGGCTTCTGTGAGCCTTCTAGCCTGTGGTTCCAGAGTCTGAACAAGCCTACACTTCTTGGCCCTTCCTCCTCACTCCCTCTTGGCACTGTGGCTGTTCCCCAGCCTGCTTCCCATTAGCACTTACAATGTTGGCTTTTGGTAGAGAGATGTGGTTGTGTGGGAAGGAGCCTAAGGGTGGGAGAAGCAAGACCCAAGTTCTTTTCCCATCTCTGCCGTTGTAGTTGTTCAACCAGAGACTGTGTCTTGTTGATCTTTGCTCTCTTCTGCATGTCCATACTTTATTTAGTAAAGAGTGATAGGGGCTACATAATGTTCTCACTCACAACACACACACACACACACACACACACACACACACACACACACACACACCCACACCCCATAACTTGTACTTAAAGGACTTCTACCAGCTATTCCCATTTATTTTTCTGCAATAATATTGCCCATTTTCATAGCTGTTTACAATTGACAAAGTATTCAGGTTCTAACACAGTACCAGTGTAGGTAAAAACGGAGTTGGTACTACATAGTTTCATTATCCCGTTTGTGTCTCAGTGCCTCTCTCTGTAAAAAAACAGAGAATATGCCAACCTGACAGGATTGTTGCGAAGGTGAAATGAGATAGTAAGGCTTTAGCATCCTAGATTTAGAGTCAAGAAGGGACCTCAAAGGGCATCTAATTCAACCCCCTTATTTAACAGATGAGGAAACTTTGACCCAAAGAAGTCCAGTCACTTGCCCATGGTCATAGAGGTGACCAAGCTGGGGTTTTAACTGAGGTTTCCTGACTGCAAATCGAGTATTCTTTCCATTGTAACAGAAGAAAAAAGTGTTTTCAGGAAGGTAAATTTTTTTTTTTTTGAAAGGTACTGGGCTGCTGTTACTTATTATGCCTCAGCTCTTATACCTCCTTGTGTCAGGGTTTAGAATCTGGCCCAAGGTAAAGGGTATGCCATTTGTGGGAGGGGTGTAGAGAAGGAAATGTTACTGTTGAAACTTCTAGACAGTCCCCAAGATAAAGGAGCATCTCAGTGTCTCCGGATAAGCAGCCTTAGCTTCTGGTTTGCAAGGGAGCTCAAGCCTATCTCTCTGTCTTTCTGTCTGTCTGTCTGTCCTGGGTTCTTTTCCATTCTCCCCCCTAAACTGAAATGGCTTTTCCTCTCTTTTCTTCATAGGTGTCCACGGGTTGGCCCCATTCTCTCTGCCACTTCCCCTAGTTAGGAAAGGTGTAGGATTACTTCTATAATTTGGGGACCCTGTCTGGCCATATTTCCACCAGAACCTAAGGTCTTCTTCACTCTCTGCTATTCCCAATACTATGAGACTACCAGTTGTGAGGACTTCCTGATGGAGAGGGATGAGGAGGGGAGTCTTGGGCAAGGCCTTCACGTCTGTCCTAAGTGAACCAGTGAACTAATCTATGTCTGTGTTTCCCTTACAGGAAGCTGCACAGTGGGATGAAGACTTACGGGTGTGAGCTGTGTGGGAAGCGGTTCCTAGATAGTTTACGACTGAGAATGCACTTACTGGCTCATTCAGGTAAGTGGGGATGCCTCAGGGGGTCCATCTAGGGCTTCAGGCCGTCAGCCACATGGTCCATCTACTCTTCTTCCTGTTCTCCAGCTTTGGTCTGGGTGCATGTAGGTCCTTAGACCAGAACTACTGCTTTCTTGATTCCCGGTCCGGGATTCCGTCAATCCAGCTTGTCTCATTAGAATCTTAGTTCTTGTCAGCATGGAATCATCTGTGTGAGATGCTGGGGTGTGTTGTGGTTCTCTGTGAGTCTTTTTTAGGGAGAACAAAGGAACCCCATGCCTTTTCCTGACCATGCCAAGTTACCAGGCAGACACCTCATGACATCCTCCCTCCTCCTGCTTGACAAAGGGCACCCTTCACCAGTTCATTTCTCCTCCCTGTGGGGCTGCAGATGCCTTGGACTCTGCCTGCTGTACCTTCTGGGGGTACACTGCAGTTTCATTAGCAAAACAGTTAAAGAATTAGGTCCTTACTATCTAATTCATCTGGCTATTTGGTTCAAGTTTTATGAGGGCCTTTCATTAAATAGATAGAGAAAAGTTGAAATATTAAACTACCTTTTACAAGTTAATTTTGTCTGCTTCCAGTTGTGGGAAAACAGGCCTGATGTTGGCTGTGTTGTTTGGAAAGAGGGTTATCCTGTACCAGGAGGAAAACAGAGAAGACATAGACACTCATTATCTAGTAGGAACACATTTTCCCCTGGTAGAATGAGAATTTGCAGAGTAAACTGAATTCATCTTTCCTTGGTTCCCCTGCATTACACATTGTTTTCTCTTTACCCAATCCAGGTGTATAATGCTGAAATCCATTTTTTTCCTCCTTTGCTCCCATATCTAATTCATTAATAAAACCTGCCATTTTTTCCCCTCCATAATGCCTTGTGAATCTCTGTCCCTGCCTTTCCAGTGCATGTCCCTATTCCTTTGCTGAAACAACCTCAGAGTAATGCTTTTTTTCCCCACTAGTCTGTCCACAACTGTTAAAATCATCTTCTTTTGTAAATCCTTCCCTAATTGTCGCAGCTGGAAGTGATCTCTTGGGCCTCAATTTGGCTTTTTCCATGTGCTTACATTTTAAGTTATATAGTAATAATAATAACAGCTGACATTTTAGTGCTTTAAGGTTTGTGGAGCACTTTAAAAGTGTTAGCTCATTTGGTGCTCATGACAATCCTGGGAGGTTAGTGTTTTTGTCATCCCTACTGTACAGATCAGGAAACTGAGGCAGGCAGATTAAGTGATATGTCCAGGGTCACATAGCTACTCAGTGTCTGAGGCTGGATTTGAGCTTGGGTCTTCCTGACTCCAGGTCCAGGAAGGACCACATCTACCAAGCCCCATGATTATCATTCCTGTCTTATCTTCCACTAGGATTGTAAGCTCCATGAAGGCATTGATCACAACTAGCACGGTATCTTGTGTATACAAGTAAGTAGTTGCTTAATAAATGTTGGTTGAATTGAATTGAATTCCCCAAACACAATTTTCAGTGTTCTTACCCTACTTGAAAGCTGATAGGGTTTCTACATTGTTAGCAGATAAAACAGTTTAACCTCTACTTCAAGGCCTTCTGCTAGCTGTTCCAGACTCTTTTTCCATAACAATATTGCACATTTATATAGTTATTTACAGTTTACAAAGTTCTTTTCAGACAGAGATGGTTTTGGAGCCAGAAGGACCAGGGCTCGTGCCCTACCTCTGACACATATCAGCTGTGGGACCCTGGGAAAAGTTATTTTTTGTCTCTGTGGTTGAGGCTACTCTGTAAGACTGTAAATTGCAGAAAAAACATCAACTTGCAACCCTCCTAGTACAGGGAGTTTTCATTATCTGGAAGTGTTCTATATCAATAAAAGCAAAATTGAAAATGGAGGCTCTGGGAGCAACTCATGAGTAGGCATGGCAGAGGGATGAGGAGGTTCTAGGCACCTCGGTTTCCATGAGGAAGATCCAGGATGAGATGGAAACTGAGGCATGGTGTTAAAATCATAAAAGATTCTTCCTTTGTAGGAGGGGAAATTCCATTTCTTCAGTGTCTTTTTATCTGTTCATCCCTTCTACCATCCCTGTGATTTGGACGTTGAGCATATATGGCCATTGGTTGACTGAAAGAAGTAATAGGAAAATCAATAGGTCAGTTTCAAGTAAATCCCTTATTTAAAAAAAAAAACAACCAGATCAGATAATGTACTGCTGTAATACTGTGTGTTAAAAAAAAGTCCACTTGGTTAGAGATTCATTAACCTGAGAGAAGAAAGCATGATGGAGAATATCTGATCAAAGGTCAGAAAATAGCAGGAGAAATAGAAGTCATGATGTGGTAGGAGTTTACTCTAGACTACTTGGCCAGTTGGAAACTATTAATAATGTGTGCTTGACATAAATAGCCAAATGGTCATAGAAGCTTAATGATGTTTTTGTGAGTAACCTCAACTATATGACTATCTGCTAGAAGGATTCAGACTCTTTGCTTTAAAAATAAAGTAATTAATATGTTTCTGACTTCTTGATAATTTGGTCTTTTAGAAGGTCGAGGGGAGTTGCTTAGGGAACCACCATTCCAGACCTGATTCTGACCTGATTGGAAATGGTGGAAATAATAGGAACCTTAGGAGAAGGTTCTATCTTAGAGCTCATGGCAGATAAGGAAGGGAACCTGAGGTTGAGCCTTGGCTTTAGAAAAATGCAGAAAATTCAGAGAAAGGAAATAAAGTCCTATGATCAGATATTTTAGAAGGAAAATCAGCGTAAGAGGAAGACTCTCAAGAGAAGAATTCTGAAGTAAACTTTATGAAGTAAAAAATGAATGAAAAAGGGAGCATTATTGAAAAAGATTGATACAACCACACAAGGGGCTCTCTGAAGAGTTCAGATTTCATAGGATCATAGGATTTAAAGCTAGAAGGAACTTTGGAAATCATCTAGTTCAACCCCTCATTTTATAGATAATTTTAAAAGGTTATCTTCAAAGATTATTGTCGTTTTTCAGTCATGACCCCTTTTGGGGTTTTCTTAGCAAAGAAGCTGAATTGGTTGATCCATTTCCTTCTCCAGCTTATTTTACAGATGAGGAAACTGAGGCAAGCAGGGTTAAGTGACTTGTCCAAGGTCATACAGCTAGTACGTGTCTGAGGTTAGATTTGAACTCAGGAAAATGAGTCTTCCTGATTCCAGGCCAGGCACTCTATAGCACCACCTAGCTGCTCATTCAGAAGATTAAAGCAAATGCGAGTAACCAAGGACTGATAGAAAAGAGGGTCATGAACCTGTGAGGTTAATTTAAAAATAATTGTTGGTGACAGAGTGAAAATGTTTGTTGTTTTCATCAATGTGGGATAATTGGTGAGGAAATTCTGTATACTAATGAATGAATGGAGGAAAAATCATTGATTAGGCACTTACTATGTGTAAAGCATTGTGCTCTGTACTAAGGACACAAATAGAAAAATGGAGGCAGCCCCTTCTCTCAAGTAGCTCACATTCTAATGGGGGAGACAACACATACAGGCAGATTCAGGAGTCGGATGGAAATGTCCTGTGGTCTGTAGGGTATAGTGGCAAAGCAGATTTAAAGTTGTTTCTGTTGATAAAATCTCATGTTTCTGATTTTGAACCATTTGACACAATGCCAAAGACTTTGGTGTTGAGAACTTTCTTTTCTGGAGTGTAGGAGGCAGGGTCATTAGCACCTATAGAAGCTGTTGCCACAGTGCCTCTCCCTAGTGGTTGCTTCCTGGGGTGATGGCCAGGGTGAAAGCAGGGTGAGTGGTCTGCAGATTATAGTCTTAGAGTTGCTTGGGGTGACTTGCTCCAGGTTACATAGCCAGTATATATCAGAGGCAGCTCTTGGACCCCAGTCTGCTAAATCCAAGGGTATTCATCCACCCACTATGCCAGGCTTGTCAAACCAATTGGGATGAATGGAATAATGGTAACAGAAGGACAGAACAAAAGGAGTTTAATTCAGCAAAAGTGTCTTAAGTACCTACTATGTGACAACACTAAAGACACAAATATGAATAGGAAATAGAGATTTTGTATTGTAAAATATAGATTTTACAATCTAGGGGGTAGAGGAGGAGATTATGGAAAGGTACATAGATAACTCTGCTAAAAAGGGAGGGTGTCATGAGTGAAAAGAAGACAAACCAGTTGCAATGGGAAATTTGTGGAGGGAGCAATTGCTTTCACGTGACGGGGGGAGGTGTGTGTGTGGATGGATGGGTCAGGGAAAGAAAGCTTCATGAAGGAGGTAGCATCTGAGAATCTAAAAATAGAACCTCATATTTTAGCTTCTGTCTTCTCTCTCAAGGAGAAAATGGGAAAGATCTTCAAACTAGAGAGGGTAGAACAGAGAGTTGAGAGAGTTGAAACCCAGGATAAAGTGAAAAGCTACTAAGAGAGCTCTTAGCTACCATTAATGAGTTCAAGTCTCCTAGCTCAGGTGACTCAAACATTTCTGGGTAGTGGGAAAAATGTGTTGATGTAATTGGTGAACCACTATTATTAATCTTTGAGGAATCATGCAGAGTACCCTAGGAGCAAAATGCCCTGATTTTCAAAGAAGGCAGGAAGATAGATACTTAAACTCTATATGCCAGTGAACTTGAATTCAATTCCTAGAAAAAAATTCTAGAATGGATTATTAAAGGGGTGGTTTGTGAACACTTAGAAAGAGAAAATGGTGTTCCCAATGAGCCACAGTGAGTTTGTTGGGTTATTCTGGTATGACTTGTAACTCTGTCTAAAAGGAAAATAAAAAATAAAACTGGAGGATTAAGGGAATACCATAGATATCTGTAGCTGAATTTCAGTGAGGCATTTGATAGTCTTTTGTGATATCTTTATGTAAGAAGATAGAGAAGGATGGCTTAGATAATAATACAAGTAAGTGGATTAATACATGGGGTACTCAGTTTTTATTAGTGGATCATTGTCAACAGAAGAGGTCTGTAGGGGAATAAGTACCCCCAGGATTTTATCCTTTCCCTTTTTATTTGA